TCAACTTAAAGAGTACTGATAATGTACTATGTGTACCCGTTCATTTTGAAAATTTAGGTTATTTTAGAAGTACTCGTCAATATGAACGATGTCAAACCTCATCGTTACAAAGTGCTATGTAGATGTACTAATCTGTCAAAGTCTTGGAGAATTTAAAAATTGATTCACAACTACGAATAACTAAGTGAAGTACTAAATCAAGTAAAATTATCCAAAGTGAAATATGAAAAAGCATTGTAAAATCTTTCGTGAGAATTTTCCGCGGAGTTTTTATGATAAAACTAATGATTAAATAACGCATTTTTGAGCTCTTCTTCTCTGGAAAAAAGAATTGAAATCGAATTGTTTAATAAGTGACAGATATTTACGGATAGATTGTTTTTTGTTTTTATGGATGACAAAGCGCTCATCAATCCCAGGTGAACTAATCCGACATCGGATTCCATCGGATCTCTTAGGATCCAACATTCCGACAAAAACCCGACGGATTCCTGGTTGAGGAATCGCTGTCGGATCCGACGGACAAAATCAATTTTCTTAATCAGGAGTGAGTAAGCATCTGATGCCATCAAAATACAAGGGTTGTATGCTAGCGTCGGTTTCCGTTGAATTCCGACACGGGTTTTTTTCGGATTCCAGCGGCAGGGATCCGACTGTAAATCCGTTTCCAGGAATCCAACGGAATTTCATCGGTTTTATTAACATTTTAATGATATCGGATAGGATCCCCTCTGGGATCTTATCGGATCCTACTATCGGAATGATTCTTCTGGGAATGATCTAAAAAAACGTCACTCCTGATTGACAGCGATTGCCAAACTATATCAACAGTAAGAAAGAAATAGAATGGCAAATGTGCATTTGAAAAATATTTTTTCTTCATTAAAGAATCTATGCTAATTTATACGTGTTCAGATGTAAATGAAAATAATTCTTGCTGAGAGACATGTTCAGCGAGACATTATTTATTGTGACCTATACAATTTCATCTATATTTTCTGTGATTGACTTACTGTTCTGTTTGTTGATGGCCATTATCATTGGTGTACATAAACCATGTTATACAGTTACCAATCTATTGGCATGTAATACAAATGTATTCGTTGCTACATTTCAACTTAATTCTCTCATTGGATCTGTCTACGGTTTTTACTCTACATCGTCAGAATACCAACCTGTCTGCATATTTCGAGCTGTTCGGTGTCGTACCTCAATAACTGGTACGTGTTATTCTTATGTTTTACAATCGATCTGTCGTCTCTTTTTTGAGAGGAAGCTGAATCATATGTGGGATCATGAGGATTTGATCGTCCTATTCGTGTTTTTAGAAACATCGTTGATACTGCTATTACACAAACACAATGTATTCAATAAATTTAGCTAAAATCGAAGACGAGATGCGATAAAGGTTGGGTTCAGATGTAGAGAAATGACTCATATCCAAGCTGGTACCCAGTCTCAGATCCACCCGTGTACATCCATACCCTACACGGCATTACCTAATCATTTAGTGATAACGATTGCTTGATTCAGTAGAACAGTGATTATTTCTATTTAGGCACAACAAGGATGTGAGTCTGCTTCTTCATTTGGATTTCACCTTCCTTCGCTCACCTTGATATGACGTAGCCCGTACTTTTAGGTGTACTTCTCATTGGCACATTTACACTATCCTCAGATAGTGTTTTCTGAACATGATTCATCAGATTGTTCGAAGAAAATGACTCACTAGAGGATGGTAGTGAGGATGTACGATGTTGAATGAAGAGAAAATATATATCCACATTCCTACCTACTTACCATGAAATCAACTGAAAATATTGTGAATCCTAAGGAAGCACTAAATCGATTAGATAATCTTATAAATTCTTGTATCAAATATCATAGTTTATTGATAGATTTTATATTTTGAATTTTGCTTTCGATTGAAGTAAAGTACTCACGTTTGTCGTTAACCTAGCGAAAGTCTTTGCTCTTTGTTTAACATTCAAATTAAACTCATGGATCCGGCACGTAGAATGTGGTTGGGTGAAATATGTTGCTCAGCGCATCAACTCGAACTTTGCTACGGTATCGATGAATTAGCCTTTCAAACTACATTGCAATATGGTCCCGAAGTAGACTTTAAGGCTTTGGGCGAACGTTACGGTGCTGCTTATCTCGACAAGCTACTCTTTCACATTGTGGCCTTTGAAGCCAATAAAATCCTTAGCCTCGGTCCTCTAACGTTAGATCCAGGGCGTCATGCCACTTGGTTCACACCGGATTTCATCAAGTTGTGGCAAACTGTGAATCACAAGGTATGGGCACAATGGCGCTATGAACACAATCGACCCGATTATCATGGGCCTTCTTTCGAACCTCTTGTGCTTGATCAGAAACTGACTTGCTTGCCTCCAGTCGAATGCGATCCAGGAAAAATCGAAAACTTGGTCTTTTGCGGCGGTGGCAAGGATTCTTTAGTTGCCATGAAACTGATGGAAGGGGCGAAGATTCCATTTTCAACTTTCACCTACACTCATTCTATATACGGTTCAGCCGAATCACAGAGCGCTCTAATTGAAAAACTAATGGATACTAGTTTGCCAATCTCGCGACACAAACTTAGCGTTAATGATACTTTCCTCAATACTCCAATCGACAGTTTCTGTTCGAGGTATCAAATTCATCAAGTCCTTGCAGCAGAAACGCCAGCATCAATTTTCAGTGTACTCCCGCTAGTTCTCGTTTTGGGCTATCGACATATTATTTTAGCACATGAACGCAGCGCTGATAAGGATAATTTGGTTTGGAATGCTACCGGTGAAGATGTAAATCATCAATGCGGCAAATCGCTTGAAGCTGAAATTCTCATCAACAAATATATTCAAGAGGAACTCATTTCTGGTATCATTTATTTCAGCTTGCTCAAGCCAATCCATGATGTCATAATTTTCAGTATGCTCGAGGAGCATTTGACTTCCGTACTTTGCACTCATTCATGCAATATAATTAAGCCATGGTGTAAACGGTGCGCAAAATGTGCTTATGTATGGCTAAACTATATGGCCTATTTACCTATTGAGTTGGTCAACAAGATCTTCAACAGCGAAAATCTTTTAGACTTACCAGAAAACCAAATCTCGTTCAGACAAATGCTCGGCCTTGAGGCACATACACCGTTCGAATGCATTGGGCAGATTTCCGAGGTCAAATTAGCTTTCGAACTCGTCCGACGTAAAGGCGTAATGGGTACTGCTATGACCACCTATACTACAAATGTAACTCCAATTCAGGACTGGTCGAAAATTATCGCTGAATATGCTCGAGTTGTAACCTCAGACGCTCGAAATTTCCCTCCGGTCATCGCAGCAGGCGTGTTGCCATTGATGAAGCATGCTAGCCAGGTAGCTCAGAAGCGCTTGATGACAGCCTTGGATCTATCGTCAGAAAGTTAAATCCTTATGAACTCTTAGAACAATGGCTCTTACTTTTGTGGAGTATTTTATTTTATTCTTAGAAAAGAAATCCATTAGCAATCGAACCATTGATTATCCAAGAAAAACATTATGAACCAGCGTATAGGCCTGGCGTGTGTCTTGAAATATATTTCATTCAAAACCATCTTCACATGGGCACACCGACACTTTATTTGGTGACTCTTTAGATATTGACACACCTTCCCCCGAAATCCTAACTGACAATTTCTCACTTTTTACTTGTCATCTTCGATACAAAATACGATGTAGAGAATGTCGAACTTTAAACGTTTTGCAATCTTCAAAAATCAGAATCAGAATTAGAATTAACATTATCGATGATTTCATCATCAATACTAGAAAAAAAACTACAATCTTTTGCACACTAGCATATATTTTTGTAACCGATTGCGAGTTACGCACAGTATTTCAATTCCCACATCATTCAAAAAATGAACTCGAATATTGTTTCTCAGATTTTAAAGGAGCTATGTTTAGAAACAAAGTCAGGCGAGTCACGAATACGACAGCAATACTTCATTCCTAAATATGACAAAGGATTCTATATATATATGTGGGGAAACAACAGTGGAACGACATGAACAGATGCTGGTGACATCTAAAGCGAGATACTGATGGAAGTGGCAGTATAGAGTACAGTATGGAAGAAAAAATGAATAATGACAGTGCAAAAATGCAACGTGTCTTATAGGACGCTTCACATTCCAATTGCTTGCAGATTATAGTTTGCACTTACCCGAGACGAATCGTTAACACACGCACAATTTGATTGTGAGAGTATGTATAAAATATAGAAGTATCCAAAGAATAGACTAAGGATTTACACGATGGATGAACAACCATTGAAACGAATAGATCAGGGCTTTCAAAGAGAGTATGATGCAAAGTTAACAATATTAATTTATATTGTCTACAAAGATAGTTAATGTATAAATACCATGAAGATTGACATAGGTGTGGATACTAAGCAATAAAGTCAGACAGATGAAAGACTCAGTTATTAAACCTTTAAAGTTTCGTTTCATTCTAAAATCTCTTGTTCATAGATGAGCTCTAACAATGCATATTCAAAGCTCTACCAAAATATGCTCTACTTTCACAATGGGCATCATCAACAACTTTTGTCCATGCAACAACAATGCAAACAGGCCACAAGCGTTGGAGATCTACATCGTTTAGCTTTCGATATTGATTCATTTTGCCACTATCTTCATAATCATCACACGATCGAAGATAAACACGTGTTTCCTTCAATTGCCCGTAAAATTGATATCTCGCATTTAGAAGCTCATCATAAACAACTTACACAACTGCTCGCTGATTTTAAAAATTGTTCGAATCGCCTGAAACAACTCAACAGTTCAAACAAAGATATCAGTGCTATTGTCCTGGATACCACCTCACTCGTCAATAAAGTATCAACATTGGTTAATGAACATGAAAGAGCCGAAGAACAAGTTATTGCACCGGATAATATGAAAAAATGGTTTACAGAGAGCGAAATGAGACAACTTTTTCAGACGTAATTTATGTGGATAGTTTTAATGACGACATAATTTATTTTTTCATGCATTTCTCAATATTTATGCAACGTTCGTATTCGAAAATAAAATCAAAATCAAATGAAAGCCAAGTTTAACAAGGCTTTCCATATTTAAGATAAAATAATTAATAAAGAAAACAGTTGAAAAGCATTAGAATATGAGGATATAGGTGGCTACCATGTCTCAGCCAACAATCATACCAAAGTGAGAATTTAATATAAAAATATAATTTCAAAAATGAATGAAATAATGTTTTCTTATGCCAACGAGAGGTAGATAGAATTAGTAATCAACTTAAAGAGTACTGATAATGTACTATGTGTACCCGTTCATTTTGAAAATTTAGGTTATTTTAGAAGTACTCGTCAATATGAACGATGTCAAACCTCATCGTTACAAAGTGCTATGTAGATGTACTAATCTGTCAAAGTCTTGGAGAATTTAAAAATTGATTCACAACTACGAATAACTAAGTGAAGTACTAAATCAAGTAAAATTATCCAAAGTGAAATATGAAAAAGCATTGTAAAATCTTTCGTGAGAATTTTCCGCGGAGTTTTTATGATAAAACTAATGATTAAATAACGCATTTTTGAGCTCTTCTTCTCTGGAAAAAAGAATTGAAATCGAATTGTTTAATAAGTGACAGATATTTACGGATAGATTGTTTTTTGTTTTTATGGATGACAAAGCGCTCATCAATCCCAGGTGAACTAATCCGACATCGGATTCCATCGGATCTCTTAGGATCCAACATTCCGACAAAAACCCGACGGATTCCTGGTTGAGGAATCGCTGTCGGATCCGACGGACAAAATCAATTT